CCTAACTTATAAAAAGGCATTCTGACCTGACCTATGGATAACAACTAATTAGGATGGACCATAGAGCTAAGTGTAAAAGCTAATAAGCCAGCTTATAGAAGAAACAATGGAAGAATACCTTTGCAACTTGGGGATTGGTGATGGTTCATTAGGGTTTGGAAAACAATAACTATAAAAGAAAAAACTGGCTGGGCATGGTGGACATGCCTTTAATCCCAGCACTTGGGAGGCAGGGGCAGGCAGATCTCTGAGTCTGAGGTCAGCCTGGTCTACATAGTGAGTTACAGGCCAGCTACAGCTACAGGGCAGACCCTGTCTCAAAAAGACCAAAAAAGAAAAAAAAAGAAAAAACTGATAAACTTGGCCTCATCAAAGTCAGAACTTCCAGGGGCTACAGAGATGGCTCAGTGGTTAAGAGCATGTTCTGCTCTTCTAGAGGACTCAAGTTCAATTCCTAGCACCCATGTTGGACGGCTTAGAATCACCTGTAACTCTAGCTCCTGGGAATCCAATATACTCTTCTCTTCTGGCCTCCTCGAGTACCCACACACATGTAGCAGACACACAGGTATATATATATATATATATACACACACACACACACACACACACACACATACATACACATAAAAGAAAAGAAATCTAAAAAGAAAAGAAAAAAATCAGTAGTTCTGGCCCAGCAAGATGGCTCTGTGGGGAAAGGTACTGGCCACCAAACCTGATAACCTGAGTTTGATCCCCGGGTCTCACATGGGGGAAGGGAATAACTGACTCCCAAAAGTTGTCCTCTGACCTCTGCATGTGCTCAATAACACACACATGCACACATACACAATCAATCAATCAATCAATCAATCAATCAATGTAATAAAATCAGAACTTCTGCTCAAAGCTGAGGTAGAGTGCCAATTCCTGCTTGGCATGTGCAAGCTCTGGTTCAGTCTCCAGCACCTTAAAAACAAACAAAAAACCCTCTGCTCAAGCTACAGACTAGAAGAAAGTATCTACAATGTATCTGAAAAAGGACTTATATCCAGAATGAAAAACTCGTTGAATTCAATTATTCAAGGGCAAATAACCCATTCATTAAAAAAATAAATAAAAAAAATTAAGTAAAAAACTTGCATAGACAGATCACAAAGGAAGATATACAAATGGCCAATAAGCACATGAGTAGGTGTTCAATATCTTTAGTCATCAGGGAAATGCAAATTAAACCACAATGATATGCTGCTACACACCCACCAGAAAGGCTGAAATTAAAAATGACAACACCTAGTGTTAGCATGGAAGTGGAACCATTAGAATTCACACACGGTTGTACATACACAAAAGTACAACCACTTTAGAAAGAAGTCAGGCCATTTCTTATACATCTAAACACACCCCTGCCCTGTGAACCCGCAATTCTGCTCCCTAGTAGTTACCTAAAAGATATGGGCACATACGAGTACAAAAACTCTTGCAGAACACTGTTCAGAGTGGCCTTCTTAACAATAGCCTCAAGCTGGAACTAGCCCAGGTGTCCATCAAAAAGTGACTATGTGAATAGGCTGATGTATATTCACACCATGTCATAGTATTCAGCAATAACAAAGAACAAACAATGATACAACACTGAGCCAAAAATGCACACTGCAAATGATCCCACCTGGGTGATAAGCCAGAGCAGGCTAGACTAACTTAAGAAGAAAAAAATTCAGAGCAGCAGTTGCCTGGGAAAAAAACACAGGGAACTTTCTAAAATACCCTTTTGTCTTAAAAGAGAATTAGGTTACACAGGTATTCACAATTATTAAACTAATAATATGGCATATTTAAGATTATTGCATTTTACCATTTTACCTAATATTGAGGGACTGGAGAGTTGACTCAGTGGTTAAGAGCTCTTGCAGAGGACCCAGATCAATTCCCAGCACCCAACAAGGTGGCTAACAACTGTCCTAACTCCAGTTCCAAGGGGATCGGAAGCCCTCTTCTGACCTCTGAAGGCACTGCATAACACAAACGCACTTACTCACATGCAAGCAATACATTCGTACACACAAAATAATAAATATTTTTTAAAATAATAAAAATGTTGAGTGTGGTGGCACATGTCTTTAATCCCAGCACTTAGGAGGCACAGGCAGGTGGATCTCTGTGACTTCAGGGCCAGCCTGGTCTATACAGTGAGTTCCAGGCCAGCTGGGGCTACAGGGAGACCCTGTCTCAAAAAGGCCAATAATAATAATAAATAAAGATTGAATATTAGCTAATAATATTCATATGTTCTAAAGTAAATGATGTTTGCAACTTACTTTCCAAATGAATCAAAAAATAAGAAGGTTCAATGAGCAGATGGAGACATGGATAGAGAGACAGATTTGTGATAAAGCACATACAGCAAAATGTTCATTGCAGAGTCTAGGGGGTGGGGGTATTTACTGTATAATTCTCTCAACTTTTTACATGTAGGAAAATTTTTCATAGTAAAGTACTGGGGGAGAACTGAGAGTGTAGCTCAGTAGTAAGGTATCTGCTTAGCAAGCACATAGCTCTGAGCTTGATCCCCAGTACTGGAAAGAAAAAGTTTCATTTAAAATACTGGGAAGGACTGGGGATGCAGTTCAGTTAGTGGAGTACTTGCCTAGCATGCACAAAGCCCCAACCAGGGTTCCATCCTCAGCAACACTTAAACCAGGCATGATGGCACAGGCCTTTAAGCCCAGCACTTGGGAGGTAGAGGTGGGCAGATCTCTGTGAGATCAAGGTCAGCCTGGTCTACACAGTGAGTTCCAGGATAACGAGAGCTACATAGTTTTCTTTTCAAAACAAGAAAAATAATAAAATGCTGGGAGAACCAGGTGTTACAGTACATACTTCTAATTTCAGCACTGAGGAGGCTGAGGCAGGAGGATTGCTACGAATTGGAGGCTAGTTTGGGTTACACAGTAAACAGTAAATGTCTTCTCTTTTCTTTTTTTTTGAGACAGAGTCTCCCTGTAGCCCCAGTTGGCCTGGAACTCACTATGTAGACCAGGCTGGCCTTGAACTCACAGAACAGAAATCCGCCTGCCTCTGCCTCCTGAGTGCTGGGAATAAAGGCGGTGAGCTACCACACCTGGCTCACACAGTAAATTTCAAACCAATTGAACTTCAGAATGTGATCCTGTCTCAAAACAATAACAAAGTAAATTTTTAAAAATAAATTTAAAAGAAAAATAAAATAGTGGAAAAGCTGGATATAGTGGTACAGGCCTACAATCCCAGCTACTTAGGAAGGAGGCTGAGGCAGGAAGATCACAAGTTCAAGCCCAGCCTCAGATATAGAATAGCTCAGGGCTATCCTGAGCAACTTAAGGAAACCCTGTCTCAAAATAAAATGAAAAAGAAGATTTAAAATACAGCTCATTGGAAGTGTATACTTGCCTAGCCTGTCTGAGGCCAAAGATTCAATCCCTAGTACCACTGCTAAAAATCGCCACTAAAATAAAATTAAATACTAAGAGAAGAAGAATATGACAAAGGAGATACTTGGCCCTGCCATCTCTGGCCTTACCTTGAACTATTCCAAGCTTCAGGAGATGGAAGTCTGCCTGTCATGATTACCTCCTATAAAGAAAATGGGCCACAGCCGGGCATGGTGATGCACACCTTTATTCCCAGCACTCGGGAGGCAGAGGCAGGCGGATTTCTGTGAGTTCTGGGCCAGCCTGGTCTACATAGGGAGTTCCAGGCCAGCTGAGGCTACAGGGAAACCTTGTCTCAAAACGACAAAAAAAAAAAAAAAAAAAGAAAAAAAAAAAAAGGCCCTTGACCAAAAAAAAAAAAGAAAAAAAAAAAAAGGCCCTTGACCAAAAAAAAAAAAGAAAAAAAAAAAAAAAAAAAAAAAAAAAAAAAAGAAAAAAGAAAATGGGCCATGAGCCAAAGATATAGATGACAAAAACTCACACCACACAAAACCAAGGCTGAAGACTGAACAAAGGGCTGAGTAGTCCAAGGCCTTTCTGTTAAATGAGGCAAGCCAGTTCTACGTATGGACTTAAGTTGTTATTCCTGTAATAAATTGTAGAAGAAGGAAGGACACATGAGTAAATGTGGATGGATAGGCTTGCTGGAAACTGATAACTACCTAAAAACTGTGAAACTTCTACAGGAACTTAGAATCTAAGTCTGAATTAGGTTAGTTCAAGCAAAAAGAAAGAAGGGTGGGGCACCTTAGAACATTTGGAAGGCTGAGGAAGGAGGATCATAGGATCATTAAGTTCAAAGCCAAGCTGGGCTACATAGCAAGAATCTGTCTCACAGGGGGGAAAAAAAGGAAGAAGAAAGAAGGAAGGAAGAAGAGGAGGAGAGGAAGAGGAAGAAAACGCCAAAACACTTTAATCAACTTGAATGACATGACCCTGTATAAGGAATTCTCTCCAACTACAGTTGAGTTTGTTCCAGCAAATGACTGATGAGTATCTAAAGAGTGATTCATGACAGTTTGTGAAAATAAGCCACATGACTATCAGGCCTGACCCGTCATCATTCCCAAGTAGGATGGGTTTTTCCCTCCTAGCCACCCTATGGCTACAAATGCCTGCAGACTCTGAGCAAGGAGGGGCAGGAGACTTCTACTGCAAACCTCGCCATACCCTGCTCAGAGGGTACCTCTAAAACCATAGTCTTCCTCAGTTCTTGGTGAGAACAAGGGAACTTTAGCTAAGGTTAAGATAAAAAGCCTCACTCTACCACCTGACTAGGGGCCTCCAGTTTCAGATCTCAAGATAATGGTTTTCAGGAAAGGCTGAGGCTCCCAGCTGAACATTGCCACATTAGATACCACTTAAGATACAGGTAAAAGTGATAAGAAGGATTTTAGTGGAGACCCAGGAGTTTCTAAGCCTGTGTTTTAACTCCTTGGTTGACCACAGCAAATGGGGAGGTTCTTTGCGGGGTGCTCTGCAGTTGAGAGCCATCACTCTCAAGTAGTCACCCATTAGCTCTGCTCTCCAATCCAGATGGACTGTTACCTGTGTAGTCCACTGAGTTTGCGTGTGCCAAGCCCCAAGCAAGGCATCGTAGAGGCCAGTGAGCTGCCGATCCAGGGGAAGGTCACTCTGGCACAGCTCTTGCCAAGCTGCTAAAAGCTGGACCTGCAGAAGCAAAACAAAAGGGTCTTTACAGAGTACACCAGACATGCCACCTCCTAAAACCCCCCTACTGAGGCTTGGGACTTCCCACTGCCCACTGTCCTGAGTGCTCAAGTCCTGAATGAAGTTCATCCATTTGAAAAAATGCAGAAAACAAGCAAAGCCCAGTCTCTTGCCCTGAACATCACCTAAAGCTTTGAATCTGTCTCTGGCAATCCTGTCTGTTCTGACCTGTCCCAAAGCATACCAATGTGCTTCCACAGAGCACACCACACTTCTCTGAAGAGACTTTAGAGTAGACATAAAGCTTCATGCCTTCCACCTATGAGGGCTGGCAAGATGGTTCAGCAGGTAAAGGCATTTACAATGGCAAACTTGTGAAATTCAATCCCTGAAACCCACTTAAAGGTGGAAGGAGAGAACAGATGCCAGAAAGTTGTCTTCTGGCCTCCTCATGTGCACCATGGCACACTCATACTATAATAAACAATTTTTTGAAAATTCAGGTGTAGTGATGCACACACACCCCTCCCCCCACTTCAATCCCAGCACCTGGGAGGCAGAGGCAGATAGATCTCTGTGAGTTCAAAGCCAACCTCATATACATTGTGAGTTCCAGGCCAATCAAGGCTACACAGTGAGACCCTGTCTCAAAAAAACCAAACAAGAACAACAGCAACAACAACAACACATTAGCATTGGGTTGGAAAGAATTACAATTGGCCCAGGAAGCTCCAGTTTTTTATTGATAACCTATCTGCAGAGGCAGATAGATCTCTGTGAGTTCAAAGCCAACCTCATATACATTGTGAGTTCCAGGCCAATCAAGGCTACACAGTGAGACCCTGTCTCAAAAAAACCAAACAAGAACAACAGCAACAACAACAACACATTAGCATTGGGTTGGAAAGAATTACAATTGGCCCAGGAAGCTCCAGTTTTTTATTGATAACCTAACCCTTGAAAACATATTCAATTCCTTTTTTTTGGGTCTTTTTGAGACAGGGTCTCCCTGTAGCCCCAACTGGCCTGGAACTCGCTATGCAGACCAGGCTGGCCTTGAACTCACAGAGATCATCTGCCTCTGCCTCTGAAGCACTGGGACTAAAGGCATACACCACCATGCCCGGCTTGAAAACATATTCAATTCTAATGACTTGCTAAGGGCATAATAAAGTTTAAGACATGAATCCCTTAAAAGACAAAAATAGGGACAAATTAAGACAACGTGTCAAGTCTGTAAATGAACTGAGCTGTAACTATAAAGGATGAAAACCAATGACTTTTCCAAGTAGGCAGTCAATGTATACATAGGCTGGACCCATAGCACCCCTTTCCGGCTATCTAAAGAAAGCCCACCAGAGGGCGCCTTTGCATCTGAAACAGATTTTGCAGCCCAGTGTTGGTGGCTTCCATACTCATAATGGCTCACAGCTTCTTACCTTATGACACTTGTAGTAGTATGCAAGGAGCTGGGGCATCCGGTCAATTTCAGTAAAAACCTTCACAAATACTTTAGACTGATCTAAAGAACAGAAAACAAGAAAGTGTATGTGTTACCAGGTTTTCTAGTGCAGCCAAGACAAACAATTCACTAATAGGAATTTGGATGTATGTCAGCTAGATTCAGAAGTTCTCATGGGCTAGAGAGATGGCTCAGTGGTTAACAGCACTGGCTGCTCTTGCAGAAGACCTGGGTTCAAATCTCAGCACCTCCATGGTGGCTAACAACCATCTATAGCTCCAGTCCAGAGGATCTGATGCCCTCTTCTGACCTCCATGGGTACTGCACTACACGGGTGCACTTATATACACGCAGGCAATACACTCATACACATAAAATAGAAATAAATAAACCAAAAGTTGGGCGTGGTGGCACATACCTTTAGTCCCAGTACTCCAGAGGCAGAGGCAGGCAGATCTTTGTGAGTTTGAGGCCAGCTGGTCTACAAAGAGAACTCCAGGCCAGCTGGTGCTATAGAGAGACCTCGTCTCAAAAAAAAAAAAAAAAAACCAAGAAAAAGAAATAAGTAAATTAAAAAAAAATGTTTTAAAGTTCCTACAAGAGAAATGAATGAATTCATAAGTGAGGATCACAAACATAAGAAATAAGAACAGATTATGGGACTCAATAATCAGACACTACAAGCCTTGCTTGCTAAAATACTATATCAATCAGCACCATAAATATAGCTAAGATTAGTTGACCAAGGCAGCATATGCATGTCATCCAAAAAGGCAGGAGGATCATGAGTTCAAGGGCAGGCTGGACTATATAACAATGATCCTGTCTGAAAAAGAAACAGAGAGACAGAGAGGAGAGGGAGAGGGAGAGAATAAGCACTAATATTAGAGTGCAAAGTAATCAGCACATGTGGATGGTAAAATGAATGAAAACAGGGTTCAGACCAAAGACTCTAGTGCTGTTCAAGGGTCCACTTCCCTTACCTAGTTCTGGCCCATGCAGAGTCATGAACTGCGACTGACAGGTGTCCAAAATAACCAGCAAGCTCATTTTGTGGGTGAGGGAAATGCAGTTTCTGGAGAGCTTCAGTCAGAGGCAGGATGAGAAACCACAGTACCACGTGCAGCACTGATACTCTCAGCTGCTCCAACCACAAAACAGCAATTCCATCTGACTCTAGTGGTTTCCTTAAATTTTATTTTTACTTTATGTGCATGAGTGTTTTGCCTGCATGTATATAAGTGCACCCCTGCCATGCAATACCCGCAGAGACCAGAACAGGATATTGGATTCCCTTGAACTGGAGTTACAGGTGGCTGTTAGCTGCCATGTGGGTACTGGGAGCCACCTCTTAACTGCCATCACTTCTTGTCCTAGTTTGATTCTCCATTTCTGTGACAAAACACTCTGACCAATACCAACTTGGGGAGGAAAGGGTTTATTCAGCTTACATCTCCTGGGTCACAGTTCATCAGGGAGCCAAAACTAGAAACTCAGGACACGAACCTGGAGGCAGAATCTGGAGCACAGGCCATGGAGGAATGCTGCTTACTGGCTTGCTCCCCTAGCCCCTGCTCAATCTGCTTTCTTATACAACATATGCCCACCTGCCCAGTGGGCTGGGCTGGGCCCTCCCACATCATTCAACAATCAAGAAGATGCCCCACAGACATGGCCATAGGCCAGTCCAATGGAGGCAGTTCCCCAATTGAGGCTCCCTCAACCCAGGTGTGTCAAGTTGACTCCAAAGCTATCCAGCACGCCTCTCTAGCCCCATCTAGTGTTTATATGAACTGAAAAACAGTCAGACAAGCAAGCTTTCTGTCAGGTGCCTAGAACAAATCACAATCTCACCACCTCAGGGCCTTGGTGCTTATTATAATCTGTAGTGACCTGGATCCTAAGCAGTCAATGCAAATTGGGTTCACCCTGCCAGTCTCTTATCAGGCCTTGTCTTCACAGAACTAAGCACACCTGTCCTTGCATTAGGTTCTTAAGACAGCTTGCTGTCTTTCCCAGTGTGAAAACAGAAGCCCCATGAGGGCACTGACATCTCCTGTCTTGTTTAACTATCCCTGCCAAATAAGCACAAAACACAGTTGCTCTGAGTACTCAAAAACTGTAATAAAAGGATTATTTAAGTAGCACTGTCGGGAGTGGTGGTAGAGGCAGAAGTAAGAATTCAAAGCCAACCAGGGTGACATAATAATATAGTGAGATGCTACCTCAAAAAGCAACAAACAAAACAGAATAAACAAGATCCAAAAGTATTAGAAAGAAGGAAAGAATCAAGATTAAACAGAGATACGTAAACTAGAAAACAGGAAAACGAAAAAGGAAATCATGAAGACGGGAGTTTGAACAAGTCAGCAAAATTGGTAAGTCTTAGATTCACTAAGACAGAAAATATAAATATATATAATTAAAAATGAAAGACAGAACATTACCACCACTTCTACAGAAATAAGGATTTTAGAAAAATACTTTGAACAATTATAAAACAACATATCAGATACCCTTGATGAAACTGATAAATTTCTACAAACATTCCATCTATAAAGACTGAGTATCAATGATAAAGACATTCTAAGCTGGGCACACTGACACACTCCTATAATCCCAGCAGCAGAGGCAAGAGAACTGCTATGACCAGGCTGGCCTACATAGCAGTTTCAGGGCCAGTGAGGGCTACACAGCAAGACCCAGTCTCAAAGAGCCATATAGAGAGGGCTGCAGAGATGGCGCAGCGGTTAAGAGCACTTACTGGTCTTCCAGAGGACCTGGGTTCCCAGCACCCAGTGGCGTCCTTTAACTCTAGTTCCAGGGTATCCAACACCTTCTTCTGGACTCCTCAGGCACCAGGCACACACGTGGTATACTTACATACATGCAAGTAAACATGCACTCATACATAAAATAAAAATAAATAAAATCTTAAAAGCACATAGAGAGGGGCTGGAGAGATGGCTCAGCAGTTAAGAACACTGGTTGTTCTTGCAGAAAACCCGGGTTTGAATCCCTGCACCCATATGGCAGCTAACAGACCCGGGTTCGAATCCCAGCACCCACATGGCAGCTAACAATTGTTCATAACTCCAGTTCCAGGGGATCCGACAGCCTCTTCTGTCCTCCGCGGGCATTGCACGACATGGGTGCACTTACCTACATGCAGGCAATACACATATACACATAAAATAAAAATAAATATTTTTTTTTAAAAAGCACATAAGCTGGACGTGGTGGCGCACACCTGTAGTCCCAGCACTTGGGAGGCAGAGGCAAGTGGATCTCTGTGAGTTCAAGGCCAGCCTGGTCTACATAGTGAGTTCCAGGACAGCTGGGGCTACAGGGAGACCCTGCTTCAAAAGACAAAAAGTAAAATAAAATAAAAAATAAAAAAAAGCACATAATCCCAGCACTCGGGAGGCAGAGGCAGGCGGATCTCTGTGAGTTCAAGGCAACACTGGTCTACTACATAGTGAGTTCTGGGACAGCTGGAGCTACAGGGAGACCCTGTCTCAAAAAGACCAAAAAATTAAAAATAAAAAAAAAAAGCACATAAAGAAAGAAAAGAAATACCAAAACTAGTACAAGAACTTCATCAGTGACCAAAAATCAGGGCTAGAGAGATAGCTCAGTGGTTCAGATGTTCGTACTAATTTTCCAGAGGATGTAAGATCAGTTTCTAGCACCCATGCTGGGTGGCTCACAAGTCTAGCTGTAGTGGATCCAACACCCTCTCGGGACTCCTCCCCCACCCTCACCACACACACACACACACACACACACACACACACACACACACACACACACACACACTAAATCTCAAACAAAAAACTTTTTGACAAAGAAAAGTCTGGGACTGTATGGCTTAACTGACAAATTCAACTAGACATTTAAAGAATTAACACCAGCTGTTCCCAAGCCCTTCCACAAAAACTGCAGAGGAGGAGACACCTAACTCATTCTATAAGATCCTCATACTGAATCCAAAGCTAGACAAAGACACAAGAAGAAAAGGAGAGCGTAGACCAATATCCCTATTGAAAGATGAAAAAACATTCTTAGTAGTAGCTAGGGATGTAGCTCAGTTGGTAGAGTGCTTGCCTAGCATGCATGGGGCCCTGGGTTTGATTCTTTGCACTGCATAAAACCAGGCATGGTAGCATGTAATGCTAGCTCTCAGGAGGTAGAAACCGAGGCTCAGAAGTTCAAGGTCAGGCCAGGAAAATGGTTCAGTAAGTAAAAGAGTTTACCCTGTAAACCTACTGATGAGAATTCAAATAACCAAAAACCACAGAAAGAACTGAAAGCAGTGGTGCCGTCTGTAATCCCAGTGAGGTGGGGGCTGAGACAGGAGAGGCACCCAGAAGCTTCTAGGTCAGCTAACCTACGGTACACAGAGCATAAACAGCAGGAGACCCTGCCTCAAAACAAGGTAAGAGAAAACTGACTCCCAAAATCTGTGGTCTGACCTCTGCACCCATACGTTGGTATGCAGATGCCTGCACTTACACACACACACACACACACACACACACACAAAGAGTTCAAGGTTATCCTCAGCTACATAGTTTGGGGCTAGCCTGGGTTACATGAGACCCTGTTTCAAAAACAAAAAAATTGCCAGACATAAGCTTTAATTCCAGCACTCGAGAGGCAGAGGCAGGAGGATCTCGGTGAGATCAAGGCAAGTCTGGTCTACATAATGAGTTCCAGGTCAGCTAGGGCTACAGGGAGACTGTCTCAAAAAACAAACAGGGGCTTAAGAGATGGCTCAGCAGTTAAAAGTACTGGTTGAGCCGGGTGTGGTGGCACACACCTTTAGTCCCAGCACTCGGGAGGCAGAGGCAGACAGATCTCTGTGAGTTCGAGGCCAGCCTGGTCTCCATAGTGAATCTAGGCCAGCTGCAGCTACAGGGAGACCCTGTTTCAGAAAGACACCCCCCACCCAAAAAATAGTACTAGTTGTTCTTGCAGAGGACCCAGGTTTGGTTTCCAGAACCCACATGGAGGCTAACAATTAGATGTAACTCCAGTTCCAGTGGACCTGATGCCCTCTTCTGGCCTCTGCAGGCATTGCACAACATAGGTGGACTTAATACACATGAAGCCAAAAACACTCATACACATAAAACATTAATTAATTAATTAATTAAAAATTAAAACAAGCAATACTTAACAAAAACACTAATGACCCAAATTGGGCAGCACATTAAAAGGATTAGGATTATATTCCAGAATTGAGTGAGATTTATTCTTTAATGCAAGGATGGTTCAATATGTAAGCATCAATCAATGCAATGCACCACATTAACAAAGTAAGGGAGGGAAATAATAATCATCTCAAATGAAAAAGAAAAAGTATTTAACAAGACTCAAACACTCTTTCATGATAAAAATATCCAATAAACTAGGAATAGAAGGAAACTAGCAACATAAGAAAAACCATATACTTCTGAAAAGCACATAGTTAACAGAATATTTAGTGGTAAAGATAAGAAATAAGACAAGCATGTCCATGTCTCCAGTTACATTAACATAGTAATGGAGGTCTTAAACAGAACAACCAAGCAAGGAAAATAAAAGACATTCAGATATGAAAAAAAGTCAAATCTGTGGAGACGTTCCTATATGTAGAAAATCCTAAAGATTCCACACCAAAAAAAAAAAAAAAAATCCTATTAAAACCAATAAATTCAGTAAAGTTTTGTTTGTCCATTTTATTTTTTCAGGTAGCACTGATATTAAACCCAGGATGTTGTACATGCTAGGTGAGTGTTCTACCACTGAGTTACAGTCCCAGTGTGGAGCCCTGACTTTGATGAGACTTCACCAGGGCAAGGCCAATCTTTTTAGGCCTTAACTATGAAGAAGAGTGATTGGGTAAAAGAATCTGTGAGAGCAACATTACTACCAGGCAAGGGGAAGGTAAGCGGCTCTCCACATGCTGAATACTCAACTATGCAGAGGGTCACCCAAGGCGTCTATGGCAGCCCTGGCTTCTGCCTCTTGTTCCAGCAAACACTTCCCAGGGATGGAAATGTAGCTCGATGGTAGAGTGCCTGCCCAGCATGTACAAGGCCCTACATTCAATCACCAGCAACTTGGGGGGCAGAGGAGGACAGTCTCCTTTCAGTCATAAAACAGAAATAAATCCTGCCATTTGTAACTACACAGAAGAGCCTGGAGAGCACCATGCCAAGCACAACACGCTGGAGAAAGAGAACTCACGCATGACCACCCTGATACATGGAATCGAAAAAGCTGAGCTTAGAGAGACAGAGTAGACTTATAGCTGCCTGAGGTGGAGGATGGGGGAAACATGAGACATTCCTCAAAGGGTTCTAACTCTCAGTTATGAGTTGTAAGCATAGTGACTACAAGTAATCAGAGTGCATTATATATTTCAAATTTGCACAGAGTAGATCTTATGTGCTCTTGTCACAAAAAGAAAAAAGGTAACTTTGTGAGGTGATGGGTGCGCTACATATGTGTCAGTCAGCATGCTATATACCTAAATCACACACGTTTTTGTAAAAGCTGGGGAAAAGAGTTTTTTTGGTTTTTTTGTTTGTTTGTTTTCCTCTTTTTGAGACAGGGTCTCCCTGTAGCCCCAGCTGGCCTGGAACTCATTATGTAGACCAGGCTGGCCTGGAACTCACAAAGATCCGCCTGCCTCTGCCTCCCAAGTGCTGGGACTTAAGGTGTGCACCACCACACCCAGTTTGGAGAAAGTTTTATTTTGCTCTAAAAAAATTAACAAAATATTATATAGTCAAATACAATATATTGAAATTTTGTGATATTTATGTGTATGACAACTGTTTATATATATATGTGTATATATATATTCATGTCTATAATTACATAGCAATTAATATAGCTTTCCAAAAACTGATGACGATTGGGTCAGCATATCCATGCAACTGAAAACAAAATGAAAAATTAGAATTTTTCAACTACTCTAGGTCCTTACAATTTAATTTCATTGTTAGCAACGTACTGTCATATAAGCAAATTGACACTTCACCTCAGGAGCCAAGAGTGGAGGTGCTTTCAAAACAGGAGAGAGAATGTAAAATAACACTGTAAACTATGGATGTTGACAGAAAAGTGGAAACTGATTCCACGCCTTCAAGTTTGGTGAGGAAACAGCTGCCAGTGGCCTCCACAGAGTAAATTCAAGAGGAACATGGAACTCAGAAGGCCTCACATAGGACGTGAGCAGAAGCCGTGAACACAGACTACGTTCTGCCCAACACAAACAGCTGTGGAAACAGCTTCAGCACTGTAGTTTCCTGACTAGGCAGTACTCCTGTGGATGTACTATGAGGAGTGAATTATACTGATGTCTGCAACTGACTTTGCAACAAGTGAGACCAAGGCTAACTAGGAGTATAGTAAAGTGAGTGCTCAGCATGCACAAGGCACAAAGCCTGGGTTCCCTCCACAGTCCCACCACTCTCAAAACAGAAGGAAAAGAAGATCTGGGGCTGCAGCTCAGTGGTAGAGCTCCTAATAAAATAAAAATAATAAAAGAAAAAGAAATAAGATGGAGCAATAGGTGATCTGGTAGAGATGTGATACAGCACATGCAAGGCTGGGATGGAGCTAGTGGCAGAGCACTTGCTGAGCCCTGGGTTCCATTCCCAGCATGGGACACAGGAAGGGGTTGTGGTAGGCTGTAAAATGATAATGCTGGGATCTAGAGGGTATGTGTGCTGGATAGCTTTAGTGTCAACTTGACACACCTGGGTTGAGGGAGCCTCAATCGGGGAATTGCCTTCATTGGACTGGCCTGTGGCCATGTCTGGGGGGCACCTTCTTGACTGCTAAGTGATGTGGGAGGGCCCAGCCCACTGTGGGTGGTGCCACCCCTGGGCAGGTGGGCCTGTGTTGCATAAAAAAGCAGGCTGAGCAGGGGCTAGGGGAGCAAGCCAGTAAACAGCATTCCTCCGTGGCCTGTGCTCCAGCTCCTGCTTCCAGGTTCCTGCCCTGAGTTCCTACCTTAGACTCCCTAATAAACTATGACCTGGGAGATATAAGCTGAATAAACCCTTTCCTCCCCAAGTTGGTAGTGGTCAGAGTGTTTTGTCACAGCAATGGAGAAACAAACTAGGACAGAGATTGGTACCAGAGAGTGGGATATTGCTGTGACAGACCTGACCTTGGTGTTTTTGGGAGGACTGTGGAAGTGTTTGGAACTTTGGGCTGGAAAAGCCATTGCGTGCTCAGAGTTTGTTGCAGTGGAGCTTGGAAAGGTTGTGCTGAAAGACTTGTAGACAATGGAGGCCTGGCTTGTGAAGCTTCAAAGGGAGGTGGAGATTATCAGGGCTGTTCGTGTGAGATTTTAGATTAAGAATCTGTGGGTTCTGGTCGGCTGGGGCTGAAGAATCAGCTGTAATTAAGAAGAGACCAGAACCTGAAGCAAAACCTTTGCTTTACTGGGACAATTGATGCTGGTTACCTGGGGCTGAAAAATCAGCTGTAAGTAACAAGAGACCAGCATCACTGTGGTGGAGTCTTCTGGGAGGTATTTCCTCAGGGTAAGTACACAGAGGGGAACTGAGCCTCTATCTCAAGCTGGAAGTAGGACTTGGTAATGTGCAAGAGTCTCTTGCATGGTTCTGGTGTTGAAAGCATGAAGGGGTCATAGAGAGCAGCTGAGGCTTGGCAGTCTGAGAGGCCAGGAAAGGCCATTGGTGAAAGTGCAGCTTCAGTTGCAGTGAAGACCCCAGGACTGAAGGGGTCATGGAGAGAAACTGAGGCTTTGCACCCCAACAGTCAAGAAGAGGCCATTAGTGAAGGTGTAGCCTAAGTTTCAGTGGCGACCCCAGCTTTTTGGAGATGCCGGGACCATGGGACGACCATCAAGGACAGTGGCAGGTGTGGAATGGAGCTGGCCTGGGTCTATGAGACCAGCTGAGTGTGCTGTGGACTGCAGATTCAGAGCAGTGGAGCTGCCAGAACCCTTTGGAGCCAGAAGATCGTGAGTGAATCCCAGATGTCCAGCCTTGAGCTACTTTGCCGGACTTTGGTTTTGCTTAGGTGTGCCCAGTTCTTCCCTTTGAAATAAGACAGTACTTGTTTTGGATTTTAGAGAAGCCCACAGTTAAGAGACATTTAAAAGAGACTATTAACTTTTAAGTGTTTTGTTTTTCTTAAGGA